TGGTTGGTCATTGGTTGGTCCTTGGCTGGCCATTGGTTGGCCATTGGTTGGTCATTGGTTGGTCCTTGGCTGGCCATTGGTTGGCCATTGGTTGGTCCTTGGCTGGTCCTTGGCTGGTCCTTGGTTGGTCATTGGCTGGTCCTTGGTTGGTCATTGGTTGGTCCTTGGTTGGTCCACTAAGATTGTTTTAGAAACATCAATCTTTGTGCTAAAATATTCTTTCTGTCATGATTTGTGGACATTAGGATCTAAAGAGAAGCATCATCTCCTGGTCAGACCCTGTGATTCAGTGAAAGGGTGGAGTCAGAGTAACATAAATGTAAATGCCCAGGAGAAGGCCAGTAGCTGGAAGGTGGAGGGGATTCTGCTGGGAGTTGCAGGGAGGTGGGCTGCTATTCGGCTGACATTTGACTGGGAAGGGCCTTTTTGAATGGCTGCTACTGTATGGAACGGCTAGAGTTAGTGCCAGTATCATCATTAATGCTTAAGGTTATGTTGGACCAAAAAAAAAATGTTTTTCTCTCAGTGTTTTTCATGAATTTCTTATAGAAGCATTTTTGTTATTTTTCTTAATATATTCGGTCAAGTTAGCGTTTCTTATTATTACATTAACATTAATTTCTGCCTTCAAAATATCCATATTTTTTGAATGTTACAAAGGTAATAAGGTCTTTTCCTGGATTCCAATAACACTTGAGTGCCCTATAAAGGGTTAACGTTCCAAATGACTGTCACAGATCATTTTTACAGTAATTATATTTTCTTTTGATCCATAGGTGGATGAATTATTCTTAATTTAAAATTAGATGGATAATTCAGCATGGCCTAATCACCAGTTGGTTTATGTTAAAGAATATTTTTTGTTATCTTAGCAACACCAGACACCATTTGTCTTCTATATTTGGACTCTCCAACAAGAGTCCTGTTGGAGAGAGGTGGAAATGTTTTGGCACTCTGAAGTGTTTCTGCTGTTTTTACTCTGAAATGATAAAAGCCAGACGATCCATCCGTTAAAACAAATGAAGATCCATTTTGGACCTGTCTCCTAGTATTACATAATCTCCTAACTTATGCCTGGTTTGGGAACCTTTCTGAGTCTTGAGTGAGTTCTTTTTCGGGGTCCCTGATATAACGGGTCCCTCAGGGCCAGCGGCCGGAGCAGAAGTCCCACGTGGTACCAGGCATCCTATGAGTGACCCTGCTGACCCAGGGTCAGTGTGTCCATGCTGAGCTCTAACATCCAGAGTTAGAACCCCCCTTTAAGGCGTCTGCTGAGCCGCTGATTCATGCTTTATGTTCCTAATTAAAACGATAATGAGTGAAGAAGCTCCTTGTGTTCAGAAGTAACCAAGCACTTCTGGGTTAATGATTCATGAAATTGCAGCTGGAATAGGATGTGATTATGAGGACTGATCTCTTCTGATTGCAGATCAGAAGATGCATCACTGTTTCTTTTTTTGTTAGTGTTATTTTTATTTTTATTATTTTATTTCTGCTCATATTCACAATTCAAACTTCTGAAAGTTCTTTAAATATTTAATTATTCCATAATGTTCAATAACTGATCAGTGTTTTTAATTCAGAGTAATTT